ACTGATTTTGGCTAGACTGCCTCTGCTTTGTGGATGTCTATTTTTGAATCACGTTACGCAGATACACCTACTAATTCATCATTATACCAGTCATTTTCCCTGAAGAAGGAACTCTGTTCCGAAACATGTTGGGAATTATGAGAGTATTTTAATATCGCCAAGCAAGACAGGTATCTATATTGTTGTATTTTTAAATACACTTGGGTATATGCTGGCTTAAATAATTGGTGTATCATATTGTATTTTACCTTTGTCCATTGGCCATTTTTTTGGCATTAATAATAAAGATTGATTACTTGTTTTTAAATATATTTCATGTTTTATATCTTCTGCTTCTAAAGTCCCCTGAGGAATACTTTGACCTTTTGGTCGCCTTTCTTTTGTACTATGTTTAGGGATGTTGGCAGTATCACAACCTTCCGTTATTGGTTCATTATCAGTTTCTCTCCATTACATAGTACTAGATGGGATTTTTTTGCACTCAATTAATTAAGCTCACAGAAAGTGACAATGACACTGCATTTCTAGCAAGATTGATAGTCAATTTATGCACGTACTGAAAATGTTCTGAGCCTGCAACAAGAAAACTAATGCAGTCACCACATCTGGGAACTAGTAATATATTACATTTTTGTTTTTAAGGTTTCAATACCTTTTTAGGGCAGATTCACACCAGGTTCATTGGGTTGCTCAACATAGGCCAAACACGACGACAAGCTCAAATCCATTGTCTCCATTTGGCCCCAGTCACACAAATACGTGTGCGCTTGGTGGAAACAGAACAAGCTGCATCTAAATGCACTACAGCACAGTGGCTTAATGGTTAGTACTTCTGCCTGGCAGTACTAGGGTCATTGGTTCAAATCCCAACCACATCATCACCTGCCTGGAGTTTTGCACATTCTCCCTGTCCCTACATGGGTTTCCTCCAACACTCCAAAGACATGCTGGTAGGTAAATTGGCCCTAGTATGTGTATGTATGAATGTGTGTTAGGGACCTTAGATTGTACGCCCCTTGAGGTTTAGGGACTGATGTGAATGTACAATATATGTATGTAAAGTACTGCATAAATTGATGGGGCTATATAAATACCTGTAATAAATAAAATAATCCAGTATTCTGTAGTACATATTGAGGAAAACAAAATGAAGTATGTTTCTCTCCTTCTCTGGAAAAATGCATATCAATGCCACACATTAAAAATCACATATCAATGCACATCAACTCAAGTGCATTTAACTTGCGTCAATTGGTGCTAAAAGTGTAAATCCAGCCTTAAGGTAGACTTTAAAATAATAATTCAATATATATGCTCAGCTGAAGATACACTATACTTAGTAGTTAGAAGTGCTGTCAATGTAATATTACTGCCTGGTACAGAGATAGGCATGATTGTTATATTACACATGTCCTTGCTTCTCCTCCGAGGACCTAGCTGCCTATTGTAATGTGATTGGACCTACTGGGGATATTCACATTATGAAGAAACGCACAATAAATGTCTTCTGATGCAGAGTGAATAGAATGTACTGAGCCTTGCTGAGACACTGCAGTGTTTATATGTAAACAGCAGATACACTTCTGACAGCAGTGACAGAGATTATAAAGATTTCCAGCAAAAAAGCAATATTGCAAGACACAGGTTTGAAATACTGAGTTTGGTTATTCTGTATCATGCAAGAAAAATGGGTTTAGTAAAACAGTTTTAAGTTTATTTTGTGGTTCATTCCTGTCCTTAGTTCCCCTTTCAGTTTTTTCCTAACCTGTCCTCCGTCCAGCAAAATATTGGAGGACCTGGCCAGCATCACACAAATCAAAAATCTTCCCCACCTGTTCCATGTATTTGCTTTTAACTCCTTTCCATTCCCATAGAGCTTTTGTATATGAGCTCTAATCCATAGGAATAAATGGAAGATAGACAGTGATTGGGGAAAAGTTTCCCCAGTAAAAATTTCAGAAAGCAATGAAAACCTAACATGCTGTAAGCTTCTCTGCTCTATCCAAAACAAAGTAAAACATATTGTCTGGTGATAGAGCAATATTGTAAATTGGGTTGTTCAATGGAAAAATGGAGTGGTGTCAACCCTACATGGCCATGATACCTATCACAAGAGGGTGGAAGTCCTGAGGACACTGTAGATAAACCATGCCCAGCCAGGGTCATGTGAAACCCTGGGGTACCTCCAAAGGTTTCTAAGGGTTCCTTGAGCTGTGGCTGATTGACCTTTTATTTGATGATATCTGCATAGTTCCAGAGTCAGTGCCACTTGACTGAGAGAGCTGTATTACACTAAGGATCGTTTTAACTGTCTGTAAGGGGGGCATTATGACCACCACTGTAAGAAGCATTCTTCCACTGACCAACGATTTAAAGGGAATTTTGCCCATTGACCACCGATGAATTGGTTTTAAACTGAGTTTCCCAAGGCCTGAAAATTATTTCAGGGGTTTCTCTGGGGCAAAAGGCTGAGAAAGGCTTTTGCAGATACTGGGATATAAAAGCCAGATGGGTGTCAACCCTACATCGCCATGCTAGCTATCACAAGAGGATGGAGGTCCTGAGAAAATTGTAGATAAACAATTCATAGCTCAGTGGGACCCTGGGGTACCCCCAAAGGTTTATAAGGGTTCATTGAGCTGTGGATGATTGACCTTTTATTTATTGGTGCCTGTATAGTTCTGGAGCCAGTGCCACTTGACAGAGACTGCTGTTTTACACTGAGGATCTTTTTAACTGTCTGTAAGGGTGGCATTCTGACCATCACTGTAAGGAACATTCTTCCACTGACCACCAATTTAAGCAGAATCTTTCCTACTGACCACCAATGAACTGGTTTTAGCAGGGGTTCCCATGACCTTAAAATTATTGAGGGGTTCCTCTGGGGTAAAAGTTAGAGAAAGGCTGCTGTACACGCTGGGCTACAAAGGCCAGAAACGCTTTCAGAACACGTTATACCCTACCTGTGTGTTGTCATACAGTTTCTGTAAGTGAGATATAGGACAGGGCATGTTGTTTTTAGACACAAATGGGTACCAGCAAGACTCTTATAAAGAGGAACCCTTGAAATATTTTTTGTGTCCCAGAGAACCCCTGCCTAAAATGATTTTTTCTACCATCATGGTACATTAGTGTGCTTGGATATATAAAGTTTTAGATATGCAACAAAATTACTACTATTATTATTCAGGATTTATATAGCGCCAACAGTTTGTTCAGCACTTTACAATATAACGGGAGACAGTACAGCAACAATACAGGTCAATACAAGAGGGTTAGAAGGGCCCTTCTCCTTGGAGCTTACAATCTAAGAGAAATAAAATTACGTGGCATACCTAGTATATTTGACACCCAAGGCAAAACTTTTTTAACCCTCCCCCACCCCACGCTGTATAGGACAATATTGTTTTTAGTAATAATCATAAAATTGGTATTCATAGGATTACCATGTGAAAAAAAGGAATACAAAGCCTAAACAAAACTAAAGCAGCCACCGCATCTATGGAGTGTTTTTGGGTTTAGATATACTTCCCTTTTCAAAAAGCACCTTTTCAATTTATAGGGTTGGCTGTAACACATTTTTCTTAAAAAATTTCTGCTGTAGCTTAATGTCTCTTCTATGTTTTTGTTTGTTTTGTCTATCTCACTAAAGCTTGAAGGCTCATTACAAATTAGTTTACCCCATCAAATTTTCTTGAGCAAAGATTTGCCTAATTCCTAATTAGGTCCAGAATGTCATCATTAAAGATCTTTCAAATCCCCTGTCCCTAAAATACTAGGTTTAATTTCATCCCTCGTAATGATGTGTAACAGCTATCTGCACAAGGCCTGAAAATCCTTAAAAGTCAGCTAATCTTGCAAAGCATGAAAGTGCCGTCAGTGGCATACATTATTTAACAGAATTGTATAATATTTCATCTGCCTCATCTGGATAAAAAGTTAATTAGTTGGTGAAATGTGATGAATCTAGCCGTGTACAATTACCCCTCCATTTGGTCATGTAGATACTGTTACAGTCTTCGAAGGCACAGATTAAGATGTAGAGCTCAGCTAATAATACACTGTGTATTTTATTAGATGGCTTTATGGAGTCCAGATTAGTTTTGTTTCTTATTCTAATTAGAAGTTTAAAAAGCCTCATTAATGGAATCGTAAAGCATATTATTATGAAGATCTGTGGGCTTCTATAGATTTAATATAAGGATTACCTTCTTCCTGGGGTTTTAGCATTGAAGATAATAAAGGTTTTTATATTCAGTTCTTTAGTTTTACTCAGCCTTTAAAGGCTGGATGGTATTACAAATACACTCCAGCCAAAAATGAAAATGAAACCCTACAATGCACCATCTTAATCCTTTTGTTGCAACCTGGGAACCCCTTTTGGTTTGTTGATATTGAAAAAAAAAGATATTCTTCAAAGTCAACTTTAGGTTTCTTGTTCTCTCTTACACACAAAAAAAAACTGATGCTTTAACCACTTGCCTACCGGGCACTTTTACCCCATTTCTGCCCAGGCCAATTTTCAGTTTTCAGTGATGTCACACTTTGAATGACAGAGCTTTATTTTGGTGGTATTTATTCACCACTGGGTTTTTTTTTATTTATTGCTAAACAAACTAAAAAATACTGAAAATTTTGAATTTTTTTTTTCTTAGTTCTGTTTTAAAATTTAGTTTATAAATTTAGAGTAATTTTTCTCCTTACTGATGTGCGCTAATGAGGCTGCACTGATGGGCACTGTTAGGGTTCACTGATTGGCACTGATAGGTGGCACTGTTGAGGAGGCACTGATAAGCGGTACTGATAGACAGCACTGATAGATGGCACTGATGAGGAGGCACTGATAGGTGGAAGTGATAGGTGGAGCTGATGAGGAGGCACTGATAGGCTGCACTGATGGGCAATGACAGGCATCACTGATAGGCACTGAAAGGCAGCACTCATATATGACACTGATAGATGTCACTGATATGTGGCACTGACTGGCACTGATAGGTGGCACTGATGGGAACTGTTAGGCGGCAGTGATGGGTACTAATAGGTGGCACTGATAGGCGGCACTGACTGGTATTGATAGGCAGCACCTGTCTGGCACTGATAGGCGGCACTGATAGGCGGCACTGATAGGCGGCACTGATAGGTGGCACTGATAGGCGGCACTGATAGGCGGCACTGATAGGTGGCACTGATAGGCGGCACTGAAAGGCAGCTCTGATGGGCACTGATATGTGGCATTGATGTGCACTGATGGGCACTGATATGTGGCATTGATGTGCACTGATGAGCACTGGTATGTGGCATTGATGGGCACTGACAGGCGGCAATTATGGGCACTGAAAGGCAGCACTGATGGGGCTGCACTGATAATCAGGGAACTGATGATCAGTGCATTGATTATCAGTGTAGATGCCCCTCTGAGAAATGATGCTTACCGGCTCTCCACTCCTCACGCACTGTCAACATGAGGAAAGGAGAACCGATAACCGGCATTTCCTGTTTACATTTGATCAGCTGTGATTGGACACAGCTGATCACATGATAAATCCTACATCATATGTCCCAGGGACACAGAACACCACCGGTTGGCGCTGTGCACCCCACCCCCCCTGGGGGCGCACATGCACAGCTAGAGTGGGAGTAAGTCATATGACATCCTCCCAGAATGAGAAAGCCACCGCCTGCCCGTCATTTCGTTATATGGCAGGCGGGAGGCGGTTAAACTGCCATTACTGCAAAGTTCCTCATAGCTTTAAGTCCACTGCTAACAAGGAGGTAGCTGGTACATGGTAAAGGTGATGCTACTTTTTCTATCCACTCCCCTGACTTTTTTTTCTCCTGTAGAGCTACAAACAGTACAGAGGCCGCCAGTCACCCAAGCAACAGTTCTTTAATTCTAGCTCCAATAAATAGCCCGGGGGGGGGTGCCTTTTTGTTGTTTGTTGCTGATAAATTTGAGAATAGGATGGGGATTAGGTGATTGGATCCTCCAAAACACTCCACAATGGTTGGTGGACAGAGTACAGTCTTCTTAGCAGTAGTAGTAGTGGTAGTAGTATTAAACAGTCCAAGGACCTACAACTGAAGACCATAGAGCACGTCTTTGGGACTCTGGTTACTCTGTGCCAAGATGCAACTATCAGTACCCAGTACAGTGTCCAGCTCACAGTCTCAGGGATTGAGTTAGGGTCACTACTCACACGTTCTCAGGACAGCTGCCTCCTTCCAGCTTCCTCTTGACCCAAACCCATGAGTGAGAAGGCACCTCTCAGGACTGGATCCCTTCTGGTGTCATTCTGCAATCAGCTCTGAGCAAGTCCATTTTAGCCTCTATTCCTGAACTTTCCTAGGCCTCCTAGAGCAGCTGTTTAATCCATGGGCTGTCTGTTAGCAGCAGACCCTGCACCTCTGGAATCCTCCTGGGGAGAAGTAACCCTGCTCTCCAGTGTCTCAGACTATTTAGTCCCTAGCTCCTTACTGAGCACTTCCATAGAGGGAGTGGCTGAAGCTCGATAAATACCCAGGCTGATCGATTTTAATCTCCCACTGTAAGCTCTGGAAGCTTCTTCCAGAGTCTGGGGGAAGCAATTATAAAACTCTCAACCTGTGAAACCCTGAATCGGACAGAACAAATAATTCCTGCTCACTTGATTACAGAAGGAGCCACAGATAAATTTGCCTAGCACGCTACATTTCGAACAGTGACATAGCAGCTCAGCCCCCCATCATTGATTTAGTAGCTTGGCTGCTCCTTTCAAACAGTGACACAGTATCTCAGCTCCTCCTTCTCTCCCCTTCCAGCAGTGACTCAACAGCTCAGCCTCCCCAACTTCCCCTCCAAATACTGACTCATCAACTCAGCTCTTATTGCTCCCCACTCTCAGCAGTGACTCAGCAGCTCAGCACTCTTTGCTCCCCATTCCAACAGTGATTCAGAAGCCTTCCAGCCTTATTATGTAAAAAAACAGATACTCTAGGAGGGGAGAGCAGTGGGAGTTGAGCTCCTGAGAGAAGAATTTCAATGATTCTAGAGTTGCAGTTGTGAACTTTGAGGATGGATTGCTCCAAAATGCCAGCAGCTACAAAGGTCAGTGTGTTTTAAAGATGATCTACCGCTTGTAATGAGTGTGCAAATATTTGAATGTTCCTATACCAGCTATAAGTTCTTACATAAAAAGTGATATTGTTGGATGGGGTTAGGCTTAGTTTGACATTTAAATTAAAAATGTAATTCTCTGAGAGCATATAAAGTCAGAGGTGCTCTGCACAAATCTTACCTTCCAGAGCCTTTAAGAAGTGGATGTGCAGGTATGGGCTTACTCAGTGTAATTGTTTGCATATCCCAAGTGAAGTGCCTGGCATTATAATATACTGGCCTCCTAATAGGTTGCTCAAGCTTTAGACATTGCACTGTGGGATGGTGTCATTCAGGGTATGTTGCTCTGAGATATAGTGCTTTGAACAAGGCATGCATTGCTAACTTACACTAATGCCTATCATGTATACATTAAATGCTTTTTTTATGCTTTTTCCCCTCTTTTTTTCACCTGGTGATCTGGCCAGTAAAACACCTCCTGTATTAGCGACACACCACTCTGGATGAAGGAGCAAAGGGCACCTTTGGACAATAGTATTGTCAGTCGAGGGGGAGGGGAGTGTTAGATGTACTAGCAGATTTAAATACACTAACAAACTGAAGCAAAACGCCAGCTCACACTGTATAAGCAGGTACAGTAACAGTTTTGTTCCTTTTGGTATAAGATTTTACATAAATAAATAAATATATATTGATAGTTGTAAGCACCCCTTTTAGTGGTAAATGGTTTGTCTGAACCCTCTAACTACTACCTCTGTAAGACAGCTTGTTCTGTTGAAAAACAACAGACTTACCGGTCATATCACCAGGAGAAAATATAAGAAAGAAAGCCTAAACAAGAAAACTAATGCACCCACCTAAGAATTAGTAAGCTGCAATATAATAAATGTTTGCTTTTGGGTTTAATACCGCTTTCCCTATTGTGTGTGGGTGGCTAGCTAGCAGTAGAATGTACTCATTTTTTTTTGTTTAGTGTTTGATAGAGAGGATTAGAAACTCTTTCATGTTTATATTGTCGTCTGTTTCCTATTGGAAGATTTCAGCTCATCTGATGTTCCAGATGGCTCCAATAAACTGGGACAGGAAGGACACCCGTCACCAGGACATGAAGAGAACAGTAATCTTAGGGTCATCTTACACGTTACATTATGACCATGCAATCTTCGCATAATCAACTTTACATGTACAAAACCACGTGTGCGCTACCCCCCCGCAGGAGCCGCTGGGGACTGGGCCTATTTCTCCCCCACAGCACCTACAGCCAGGAGAATTTTACCACACTTCCAGATGGCTCAATAAACAGTCTAGGGATTTTGGTTTTAGGAATGATGAATTTGAACAGGTTGAGGACTGCTAACTTTCTGGCTGTGCTTGTCCACTTATTTACAAAGAAGCAGCAAAAGAACTTGTGCTCCTTCAGCTGTACCTGCATAACACCCGAACGGTATTGCACCCCTGCTTGGCTGTACTGGCACACGTCAGTCTCTCTTTCTTTAGCAACAGGTCCCCAAAAAAATCTCTATACTGCCTGTCATGCTGTCTTTTTCTCAGAATTAAAGCACTAAACAGTCACTCTTGCAGCACTGGGGTTTTGTACTTAGTCAACCACAGGATAGTTGTTTGCCTCCTTCTGATATCCCCCAGGCTCTTCACTTGTGAGGGAGAAGCAGACTCACTCGGCCTCTAGGACAACTTGGGCTCTCTCTTCCACAGCTTCCTTTTCAGCTTTCCTCTTGTGAGCTTTCTCCTAGACCTCTAGCTTCCTGGAAACCCTACTTCTTCAGGTCCCCCAGCTAAGCATAGCTGAGACCCTTGTTTCCTCCTGCCTGCTCCTTCCCTGGCTTCTGCCCAGGAGGGCAAGGCCCCTCAACAGGGGTCTCCTCCTGGCTGGGCCCTGGAATGCTTCCTTACACCAGCATGCTTGCAGACTCCACTTGCTGCTCAGGCTTAGACTACTTAGCGGCTCTTCCCCCACCCTCTGGGCAATGCCTCCTCAGGGATTGGTGGAAGTCCCCTCAATACTCAAGCTGCAATCTCTGCCATTCACTATGTTTTGGAAGGCCCTAGATAGTTCCATAACACAGGGGAAGTAGCAGAGCAGCAGCCCATGAATCCTTGAGCAGCCCTAACCAATCCATTGCTGTTCCTCTGCCTACAGAAGAGCCAACTAAATTCACCTAATACAAATTAGCAAACTAAGAGGATGTTACACATGTACTATCTGGACCTAACTAATTTAGTCAATATGTTTTTTTTATCCAATCAGGCAGGCACTTATGCTACATAGATGTTGGTAGATGTAAAGGAGATTGTGCAGATTGTAACGTGTAGGGTGTGCTATAGGAACAGAAATAAACACCTGATCCAGGTTCTAACACTTCCACTAGGTCCTAAAACTAAAGGCAAAGTTTAGAGAGGACTTCTACTTTAAATCCCTGTAACAACAGCATTTCTTAACATTACTTGCCATTTTTATTATATTATATATTAAAAGATACATTTTATTTTTATCTTACCGCTCATATCCACAGGGAGTCTTAAGTGCTTCTTACATTGTAGTCCACTTCTCACTTTGTGTGTTATGTCCTTTCCCCTTTATTGCAGATTCTGCTATGTGCCAAGCTTAAAGTGTAATTCTGCATTTGAGGGTTTTCAAGGATAAATGTGACATAATGAAAATATCTTTGTCGCCTGTATTATCGCTTACCTTATGTTTTTACTTTTACTTGCATCTCTGATGGGTTACACTTTGTTGCTTCGCACTGTGTGGCTGTCTAGGAAGCACTGTTTGTTCATTGCAAACTTGAAGTGAGTGTATAGGAAAATATATATTTTTTTAAATATCAAAATATTATACTTACCTGCTGTCTGCAATGGTTTTGCACAGAGCAGCCCCAATCCTGCTTTCTGGGGGTCTCCTGCTCTTGCTCCTGGCTCCCCCTCTACTGAGCGCCCCCATAGCAAGCTGCTTGCTAGGGATGCAATAGTGAGGGCCTGAGCCTGAGCCTTCCATTGATACACAGAGCCTGGCTCGGCCCCACCCCTGCTCCCTCTTTACAGTCTGTGATTGACAGCAGCAGGAGATAATGGCTCCCTCTGCTGCCTCCATGTCCAGTGAGAGGAGAGTGGAGAGAGCTGCTGCTTTCAGTGCTGTATTGAGATTGGGCTCAGGTAAGTATAAGGGTGAGGGTGAGGGCAGAGGGACTGAACACAGAAGGTGTTTTACCTTAACGCCTTTAGAACCACTTTAACCTCTTCACGCCTGCCAAACGCAAATTAAAGTGGCTCTAAAGGCGTTAAGGTAAAAAACCTTCTGTGTTCAGTCCCCCGCCGAGTGGCCGCACATTTGCGTTCTATTAAAAAAGAACATATGTGCTGAGAGCGCGTACCCTGCACGCTCCCAGCACACATGTCTGGTACTGTTTTTTGACACCATAAAAAGCTTGTACGTTTTATAAAACTTTTTTCAGTATATATTTATACCTTCAAAGTCCCAAGTCCTATAGGGGTCTTTTCCCTTTATTTGACTACTGATCAGGAAACCCTTTTCTTTTCTTTTTAATATAGACATAGGCCATGAAAGGTTTGTGAGTGTAGCCTGTAAAACCAAGCAATCCCTTGTTTCCAGTCCTTGTTTTAATATTTTGTGACTTTAACATAGATGCAAACTGTAAGGTACTGCCCTTTAACTGCTTCCCGACCTCCCTAGAGCGGCAGGGTTGCACAAAAGCACGTGATCACATGATTTTGTATTTCCAGGTAGGGGGGTGAGTGTGCATGCTGTCATTGGCGGCTAGAGCTGTCGATCACTGGGTCCCGGACAGAAATTCTCCACTGGCTCTCCAGCTATCGCCGAGGAACAGTGACAGAAGAGAGGTCTGTATGTAAACAATACAGATCTCTCCCCGGTCAGCACCAACACACTGCTTTGTATTGCTCTGCATAGCAACCTTAAGGCTGGTTTCCTTGCAACCATTCCTGTCTAATATGTGCCAGTATGGCCGCTTGTATCCAGCTGGTTCACCTGTGACAGGCTGACTAGACAGCACAGTTGGGAAAAAGAGATATTCCTGGAAGTTTCTCTAGGTTTTATTGTAATAAAAGCTACAGATTAACCGCTTTCCAGGCAGAGCGGCAGGGGTGCACAAAATCACGTATATAAATACGTGATTTTGCATTTCCGAGTAAGGGGCGCTCGCGAGCCCCAGGCACGCCCTACCCATCCGCTATTTGTGGCCTCTGCTGTCAATCACCGGGTCAACAATACAGTTCTCTCCCCTGTCAGCTCCATAGCATAGCAGAGCCATACAAAGCAGTGTGCTTACAGTTGAAAGCACACACACAGCTTACAGTAAAACAGCACACAGTTAACCCTTTGATTGCCTCACATGGTAACCCCTTCCTGCCAAGTGCCAATAGTACAGTGTCAGTGGTTTTATTAGCACTGATCACTGTAATTGGTGCCACTGGGGATGTCAGTGACACCAAGTCAGTTTTCCCCAGTGTCAGAATTCCTGCCGCAGTCCCGCAGTCCCACTATAAGTCGCTGATCGTTGCCATTACTAGTGAAAAAAATTTTTTCCAGTATCTATCCCACCATTTGAAAACACTATAACTTTCATGTAAACCAATTCATTTACACGTATTGGGATTTTTTTTTTAGAAAAGGCATGTAGCAGAATATATTTTGCCCTAAATTTATGAAGAATTTAGATTTTTAAATTTTTTTTACTGGACATGTTTAACCGCCTCCCTCCTTCCATATAAGGAAATGACGGGAGCGTGGCGGTTCCCTTGTTCTGGGAGGACGTCATATGACGTCCTCCCACTCTAACCATGCGTGCTCGCCCTCGGGGGCACGCAGCATGGTGATCAGTGGTGTGCTGTGTCCCTGGAACAACACAGCGGATCACCGATCAGCGGAAAGAACAGATGACTTCAGCTCTGTCATGTGATCAGCTGTGTCTAATCACAGCTGGTCTCATGTAAATAAGGAAATGTCGGTTATCTGCATTCCTCTCCTCACAAGCTGTCGCACTGACCGGTAATCAGCATTCCTCAGAGGGGACATCTACACTGATCATCAGGGCACTGATGATCAGTGTGGCCCCATCAGTGCCACCTGTCAATGTCCATCAATGCCAACTGTCAGTGCACATCAATGCCACATATCAGTGCCTACCAGTGCACATCAATGCCACATATCAGTGCCCATCTGAGCTGCCTTTCAGAGCCAACTATCAGTGCCAGTCAGTGCCGCCTATGAGTGCTCACAATCAGTGCCACCTATCAATGCCAGTCAGTGCCACCTATCAGTGCCAGTCAGTGCCACCTATCAGTGCCCGCCAGTGCCACCTAACAGTTCCAGTCAGTGCCACCTAAAAGTGCTAGGCAGTGCTGCCTATCAGTGCCAGTCAGTGCTGCCTATCAGTGCCGCCTATCAGTGCCATATATGAATACTGCCTTTAAATGTCCATCAGTGATGTCTGTCAATGCCCATCAATGATGCCTGTCAATGCCCATCAGTGCCACCTACCAGTGCCTCCTCATCAGTGCCCATTAGTGCCGCCTACCAGTGCCCATCAGTGCAGCCTATCAGTGCCCATCACTGCAGCCTCATTAGCGCACATCAGTGAAGGCAAAACATTACTCATTTACAAAGTTTTATAACAGAAACTAGGAAAAAAAAACTTTTTTTTTTCAAAATTTTCAGTTGTTTTTGGTTTGTTTAGCAAAAAATAAAAAACCCAGAGGTGATTAAATACCACCAAAAGAAAGCTCTATCTGTCTCAAAAAAATGATAAAATGTCATGTGGGTACAGTGTTGCATGACTGTGCAATTGTCATTCAAAATGCGACAGCGCTGAAAGCTGAAAATTGGCCTGGGCAGGAAGGGGGTGAAAGTGCTCGGTAGACAAGTGGTTAATAGCAAAAAGTCAAAAATATTGTTTTTTTCTCAAAATTGTCGGTCTTTTTTTTATAGCGTAAAAAATTAAAAATGCACAGGCAATCAAATACCACCAAAAGAAAGCTCTATTTGTGGGAAAAAAAATGTAAATTTCATTTGGGTGCAGCATTGCATGACCGTAGAATTGTCAGTTAAAATAACACAGTGCAGTAATGCAAAAATGGCCTGGTCAGGAAGGTAAATCCTCAGGAGGGCAAGTGGTTAAACATTTGGAAATGTCTGTTTACATGAATCTTTTTCTTTTTTTTCTTTTCTTTTCTCTCATATCTAGCCATTAGGCATAGCCCTAGGCTCCTTTTCACATGCTTTTCTAAAAATAAATAAATAAATACATGAATAAATAAAACCGTGAAACAGGAGAGGGGTTCAGGATACTCCAAAACAATCAATAGGAGGACAAACGTCTAACTCAACTCCTTATAGTAGCAGGCACACAATAACGTGCCAATCAGGTCTCCACAGGTAGATCCTTAGTATGGGCGACAAAAGATTCTTCTCCAGACCAGAACTTCAGGACAGTGCCCTCCAGCAAAAATCAATCATTAATCTTTTCCAGGCTCTCACCCCAGCACCTGCTAAGGCCCAGACTAGAATTTTTCATCTCATTAGCTATCTCCAAGGGACAGCAGCCCCAGGAGAACTGGAACCCTCCCGTCGAAGAAAGAACACTCTGGAAACCTCCCCAGATACCTTCTGGATACCTAAAGTCTCAGTGATTCACATACTGTACATGGAGGTTGCACTGCACAGAACCAGGTCAAGGGGTAGGGAGAAGAATCGGCTGCCTTTGGGTGCTTTGTTAGGAGAGGGTTGGAAAAAGGGCAGGACCTGCAAGCTATGCAGATGAAGAAGTTCACAGTACATAGAAGGAGAGCACTTTTTCCTTTTTTGTCTTGGGTGCTAAAGGACCTTGTCTCAGTGTTGGTACTGCGTATTTGTATTTTGTGAATCTGTTCAGACATGTCCAGAAGTTCAAATACTAGTCAGCATGTAATATTCCAGTGCTTGGAATACAGACCTCTGTAATAAATATTTGCACATACACTGAATTATCCATATGACTGAATAGGGCAGATAATCCTGGGACTGATCAGATGCCATTCACAGAACATGTTACAAGCAGTGTAAACAATGAAAGAACTTTTCTCAGTGGAGGAGGAGGAAGGAAGGGGCATGTCCCAGTTGGACCATCTGTACTGCTGTTCCGCCTGAAGAACCGAAGCTGTCAACCATAAAGCACTGGACGTTTAGAGATAGGAAGAGGACAGGCATCCCTGCAGTGAAGATTTCTCCAGAATCCAGATGCCTGCAATATGTGGGACATACTTAACCTCCCTGGAGGTATTCCCGAGTGTAGCTCGGGGTAAAGTTTCAGCACCACAAGCGGTAACCCCGAGCTACACTTGGGAATACCCTGCAGCGCTGCTCCGGGATCTCTTCTTCACTTACCTTGTCCTGGGCACCAGCGATGTCCCTCCTGCAGTGTCCCCAGCAATGTCCTCCGACCGATGACGGCATTTGTCTTCTGGGTTCCCTTTTCTGCGACGTCGGGACGTATGGGGGACGGAACGGTGGGAAATGTAAAAATGTGAAAAAGTGACATTCACTAAATACACTAAAATCACATAGTATAACATTCCTGTATCAAACCATTTCACATACATTTTGTCCCGAGTGCTTTGTCCTGTGCCCTGCCTGCATTTTTACTGTTCTTTCTGCCTGGAAACTTAGAAATGTCCATGGTGTCCAAAAAGCGTCCCTTTAGGTCAAAAGCGGTTTTAGACCGGCTAGAGAACAGTGATAGTAAATTAGAACCACTTGCAGAATTGAGTGATAATGATTCATGGGGGAAATTCATTATCAGACACTGAAAAAGATTTTGCGACTTTGCTCAGTGATGTGCGAACTTGGCGCTATATTTTCAAATTTCAGTGTTTTTGGTTTGAGTATATTATTGAATTAAATTTATTATTATATTATTTTTTTTAAGATTATTTATTAAATTATAATTTATGATTTCGTGTTTCAAATTTTAACATACCCGGGATGTTTACTAGACTCTTGTTCAGACAGATTTCAGTGAGTTATTCCTAAAAAATTACAGGCCTACAATAAAAAAATACGTATGTCCATGCAAAAAAATGTACCCACTTTGAGCACAGAAATACTGACATAATCAGACCGCTAGGGAGGTTAATTATAGATAATTGACTAAAGCTGTAGATCTTTTTTTTTTTTTGTAGCTAAACTTCAGATTTAACACTTTATTAGGATAGACAGTGTAGTTTACAACTGATAATGAGATCTGCCAGCACATTAAAGACAGGGTTAAATGTGGCAAAAAGTCAGTTTCCTTCCCCTCCTTAACATTACATAGAAGAGGAAAACTCAAGTTTTGGAGTTTTTTCTGAAAAAAAGCAGTAAAAAACGAAAAGCAGAAATTGTTATTTAAGATGTGGTATGTGAATGAGAACATGTAACATATATATAGTAGGTATTATCCCAATTTGTTTGCAACAGTGGAAATATTTGGAAAGTTCTACCGCAGCAGAAAACTTTGGCGTATCGTGATTTCAGAGGGGAAGCACCATCTGAGAAAAATCGAATATACTGCAGATAACGTACTGAACACTTTTTTTGAAAACAGAAACAAACTCCTTGCATTATATATAACTGCTGAGGACGTTTTTGAAAGCAAGCCTTACATGGAGGACACAGCATGGCGACTGTTATTAATCAGTTGCTAGATTCATGTAAAAGGCGCACTTGTTTTGACACACCGACTATAACGAGAGGAAAAACAAACAAAATAACATCCATTCTCATCATCGGGCCGGTATCCAGATAACCTCTCTGGCCTGCATTATTAATCAGAGGTTTGAGACTCTACACTTGGCAATGAGGCTTGACCGCTCTGATAAAAGTTGTTATACATTCTTATAATGAAAAAAATAAGCGCTGGCAATAAAGTACCAATATGCCATAATCATTTTAGCAGTAAAATTCCTTGTAATGTATTATATGTTAGTCACATTGCATTTTGTGGGGAATTTTTTTTCTTGGATTGTTAATAATTTTGCTGCCTGACGCAGTAAAAAAAATTTGGTGACACACTGAGAAGCCATAGATGTGTTAAACCTTTTTGCAATCTGGTGATAGAGTGGGGGATTGTCATTGATTCAAGAATGTTAAAGCAACCTTGTCAAATCATCCCCCACAAAAATAAAAAAAAAAACAGCCTGCGAATGAAGTCCAATAATATTTACCTGCCTTGCTGCCCATGCTATGCCAGGTATAGTATATGTAGGAGCCACTGGTTGTATTGGGTTCTTTGATCTTGCCTTGACCTTAGCAAAGAACTCAGTACCACTTACATCTTGGGTTAATAGGACTGATAATTTGTGGTTAGTACTTTAGAGTACTAAATGAGACTAGAGACCTTGAAATAAGGTAATAAAATATTGCTCAGATAAACAGTCAATTTATTTACTTACTAAAAATGTTCTGAGCCTGCAACAAGAAAACGAATGCAGTCACCACATCTGCGAACTAGTAATATATTACATTTTTGTTTTTGGGTTTCGATACCTTTTTAGGGCAGATTCACACCAGGTTCATTGGGTTGCTCAACATAGGCCAAACACGACGACAAGCTCAAATCCATTGTTTCCATTTGGCCCCATTCACACAATGCGCTTGGTGGAAATAAAACAAGCTGCATCTAAATGAACTACAGCACAGTGGCTAAGTGGTTAGCACTTCTGCCTGGCAGTACTAAGGTTGTTGATTCAAATCCCAACCATGGCAACACCTGCATGGAGTTTGAATGTCCTCCCTGTTCCTGCGTGGGTTTCCTTCCACACTCCAAAGACATGCTGGTAGGTTAATTGGATCCTGTCTAAATTGGCCCTAGTATGTGTATGTATGAATGTAAGTTAGGGACCTTAGATTATACACCCCTTGAGGGTTAGGGACTGCTGTGAATGTACTATATATATGTAAAGCGCTGCATAAATTATTATTATATATTATTATTATACAGTATTTATAAAGCGCCAATAGTTCACTCAGCGCTGTACATTACAAAGGGGGACAGAACATGTGACAGAACAATACCAATACAATGCAAAACATGAGGGGATCGAGGGCCCTGCTCTTTCGAGCTTACAATCTAGAAATTGACAGCACTATGTAAGTACCTGAAATAAAATAAATAATAGGTGTTTACCTTGCAGCTCACACGACTCTAAACTTCAAATGACAAAAGTGAGAGTGGGTACGATAAGTTCTGTATAAACTGTAACTTTCCCCACTCAATGAGCAGTCTAAGGCAATCATGATTTGGTATCAATAAGATAGTGGCTAGGTTGCTTAGAGTCACTTGAGGTGAGGATGCTAGGCCTAGACCATAATTTATATTTGCAAGATATCAGTAACTAAAATTATGCTCAATAGCAAGAAT